TAGGAGATGCCTCTCTTTTTTCTTCTTCCCAAGTGACCATCTGAAATGATGTAGAAATTGAAATTGTTGATCTTTCTTGCCCCTTAACAGCAGAACTTTTTTTTTCCCAAAGGGATTGTGTTCTTCAAGGTCTCTCGATAACTTTTCTTAAAAGTAAATAAGGACTTTTTTTTTTTTTTAATCACTGGTGAACAGCAACTTGCCTCTTAGATCAGAAAATTATTCCCTAAAAGCAGCACAAGAAATCTTTCGTTATGGGTGTGTGATTGCGTTGAGCCATTCTATGCAGGTTTTGGTTATTTTTTGTTTGTGTGGGTTTTTTTTTAATTTTTATTGCAGTTGTTGTTTGGGTTTTTGTTTTGTTGATCCTTGATGCAAAAAAATCCCACGGGGACTCAGAAGTCTGGTTACTCTTATTTTAATGTGGTGGATATAAGGATGCTGTCAAGCAGCACACTTCTCGAAAAAAAGGGGTTTAAGGAAAAGCTACTCATGATAAATAGAGAAATAAACCTTTGGCTTGCAAATTACTCATGTGCTGATGTTGAAATAATGGCAGAACTGGAGAGAGTCTTGTGCTTTAGCAACTGACTGAAGTGGTTACGTTTAGTTTTATTTTTCCACTGTAGGTAACCATTTTTTTAACCGAGAACATAAGTAAAACATGCTTAGTGATGTAATATCTTCATTTAACTGGATTGTATAGAATGATTTAGAATAGATACTAGCACAGGATTTTAGGGAAAAAATGGAGAATGAATTTCCTGTTGGTAACTGGACACCTGTTTTTTGCCAGTGGTGGAAATATAATATATAAATCGCTGCATAATTTTAAAAAAAATCAGTTTTACAGAGTCTAGACACTGCTGTCATTATGTGAATATTTAGTGTTTAGAATTTGCTAGATATAGGGAAAGGTGAAGGGGCTGCAGCTTTTCTCAAACACTAAAAGCACAGAACTGAGAATATGCAGGTTATAGTCACTTTTTGTTATTCAGAGCTTTTGGGTAGCAGTGAAACTGTCAAGAATATTATTAGTATCATGCTGTAGTTTGGGAACATTTTGAGGAACAGAGCAGAGCTGGCACTTGTGGAAAGCTGCATTTGGTCTAAACTGTACAGATGTCTTATGCATGAAAACGTTATCAGAGTGTGAATTGGTTTAATTGTGGTATGTACTGGTCTCTACCTGCAAAAGACTAGAGCATCTGGAGGCTCGTGTTTTTCTTCAAAAAGTCCCTCGGGACTAGTTTCTAACTTTACCTGACTCTTCACATGCAGTCTCTCAGTTCCTTTTATGACTGGACTGTTTCTTTTCTCTCCACCCCCATTAATTCAGCACCAAAAAAGCAATGAATACAAGTCTTGCTGTGGGGGAAAAAATAGAAATTTCCTTTATAATAAAGAGTAAATAATTTCAGGCTTTGTTAACAGCCTTTAGCTTGGGCATAGAGCAGGAAGGTGGGATGCTAGGGGTTAGAAAACACCCCTAGCATCTTTTATTTCTTGCGTAGGTTGGAAAAACCTGACCAGATACAAAGCCTGGGTGCTTCCCACTCGAGTAGTGCTAGTGACCACAAGGTTTCCTACCCAGCTGCCCTAATCCTAGGGGTGCCATCAGGTTGACTTGAGGCTGGGTGCCCCGGTACAGAGTGCTGGTGAAAGTCGCTGTGTCCATCTTGGGGGGCGGAGGGGGGCACGGTGCTGGTCTGCCACCGTCACCCCAGGGGTTCGAAAAGGAGCGCGTTGCACCGCAGGCACTCCTCTTGCCTTTTCCTGTGCTGCATCTGCTGAGCTGTCCTGTCCTGCCTTTCAGACTCGCGGCACGTGGTCTGAGTTTCTTTGCCATGTCAGCCACGTTATTTTACTCTGTTTTCTTAAACGTTAGAGCTGACGTAAATACTCTAACCCATGAGAAATAGGTGCCACAAAGCTTCCACGTCCTTGCGGGGAGGGTAAGAAAGATAGTGATCATAACCAGAAACTGTACCTGGGTAAACGGCATTGCTTCATGGCCTCAGGGGACCCAGTCTGCTGCTTGTTGTTGGGATAAATAGGTTGTGCTTGCTCCTTTTCGTTTATCTTTTTTTTTTTTTTTAAAGTATCTTTTTGTCTCGTTGTTATCTTTTGCCCAAAATAGGTGGTTGCAGTAGATGACGAAAAAGGGAAATGAGAGCTGTCTAAATAGGGCATGCTGTACTTGCTTCTGCTAGAGGAACAGGAGATCCTTCTCTTCTTTCCTATTAGTAGAGAATAAAACTCGGGACCTAACCATGGAAAACTTATTTTTCACTACTACTTGGAAGTCTGGATGATCGTACAGTAGCTTGATTTTTTTTTTTGAGCTGTCATCTTTTTTTCTTTCTGCAAAAAAATCCCCTGTTATCTCAGCCTTGTGATTACTAGTTTTTCTTTCCGTGAAGCCTGTGAAACAAATGATCATATGAGTATAAACCAGTCCTTCTGCTTGAGCTGGTCTGCCATGGCTTTATTTGTTTTGCTTTTTTTAATAGGCTGCTACAGAACGCTGTGAAATTATCATCAGTGGTAAATACGGGTTCAAGGAACATGACGACTTTAGGGATTATATTGAGATGTTTTTGATGGGTTTGTGTGATGTAACCAGGATAAATACAAGGTAAGTGCTCCTAGACATTTACGTGTTGAAAACTATTTGTGTAAGTATTTTAATGACTGACCATGTGTATGGCTTTAACTTGAATAGAGCAACTCTCTCAGGCTTAAACTAGAAACCTGAGATGGGAAAGGACTTCTTGCGGTGTTGAATCCAGTTTCTAGTAGTGAAAGTCCGCTTCAGCAAAATGGTCAAGATTTATCTTAAAAAGTTATTGTTGGGAATAGTGAGGGTAGAACGAACTGCTGGAAACTGCTTCAAAAGCTCATTGCTTTTATGGTAGCCCCATTTCTGACTTTCTTCTGGAGCTGGTGAAAATTTCAGTTCAAGCCTAGTTCTGGTCAGTTATTTGCAAAAAAGATGGGTTGTGTACGTCAGGTGGTGACTTAATTGTGCTTTATGCAATGACACTAACAGATGCTTATTACTAGTGGAATGATCTTGCTCCACGACCTTCTCCTCTCTCTGGACACATCACATAAATTGCTCATAAAAACTTGGGGATAAAGTAACCGAGTACATTTAGATCTCCCTCTGTCATTCATTTCTAAATAATTAATTCCTTCATTTGTATTGAGGATGCTCCTTCATTTTTGCATGTCCCACAAAATATAATTAGTTTGTGCTTCTTTACTGTGCCAGTTCCTCTAACAAAAAGCTTGATCGAACTAAATTCCAAGAATGAATGACAGGGGAGGTTCACTAACAACTTCTAAATAAAATTTCACTAGCAAAGACTTTTTTTCCATTTCCTCTTCACCCAGTCTAGTAATTATTATTTTCTTCATAGCGCAAATTAATAATTTTAAATCTAACTGTATAATTATGAGCTGTCTATCATCCTGATCACTTCTTTTCATTCTTACTTTGCTAAAACAAATTTAGGTGAACAGTGTTTTCAGGTTCGTTTGTTTCTTTTTTCAGGAGCGGTTTTGCAAAGTGGACAGTAATGGAGTATATGAGCACGGGTAGTGATAGCAAAGAGGAGATTGACTTGTTGCTAAATAATTTAAATATGTCCGAGGTGATAGACATCATGGAAAACCTTTATCCAGGTGGAGACCTTGCGGTCTATGAAGATAGCTTAATTACAATGTGTGAAGAGGCAAATCAAAATGAAGAACGTGCGGAATCTTTACTGTTTTGTGAAAGGGAGGTTTCTTTGATGTCCTCCGTCAAATACGGGACTGTGGAAGACCTGCTTGCTTTTGCAAATCAGGTGTCTAACACTGCAAAACAATTTAAAGGATGCAGACAGCAAGAATCTGGAATCCTGTTGAATATGGTATGTCTCTTTTCTTCTTACTTGAAAATTAGTAGGCCTGAGGAGTTAGAAGTTATTAATGAAGCTAAATAAAGATCACACCGAGTCCCAGGAGTGACAGGCTGTTGTTCCCTGTGCACACCTGGGACTGAGGGGGATCTCTGAGGTTACCCAGTCTAGGCTATGCAGTCTCAGGCAGCTATGGAGAAAGGTCTTTTGTTCAGAAAGATCCACTCTATGTTGCCTCTTGGTATCCCTGCAGATTAGAACACATTTCCCAGCATTGAATACAAACTTGAGAGACACAGTAAAAGAGCAAAAGCTAAAATTATGATGGCTTACAGGTTTGGGAGACAGTAAGGGTTTTCCAGTGCCTCATGTTCATGCAGTAACAGGAGTTCATTATGCAAAACTCCCAAATAAAAATCTAGGAACTATTTTGGTATAGTTGCTGAATTCACTTTATCTGCACAAAATGTAAAAAGTAGTAATGTAAGGAGAAGCAGCGTATAGTATCAACTGTGATTTTCAGAACTACAATATTATGTAATATCGCATGCTGCTAAATTCAAGTGTAGATGTGTTGTTTTGAGATATGTTCATTTTTTCCCTTAAATGATTTGTGTTCTACAAGAATCTAGATACTAATGTCATTGGACTTCTATTTAAAATCGGTTGCTCTGGAAACAATCAATTATGAAATGGAAGTTTATTGATAGATGTTTGTGCTGCTGCTTTATTTTCTTAAGATGTTCTACAGCGATCGTCTTAAATATCTTGTATGTAATATATTTTATATGTGAATATTGGTTGCTTGAAGCTTGCTGGTTACCCAGATGTGAAATAGCACAGGATATTTCTTTATTCTGATTTGGAGGGAGAATTGCATTATTGCAAAACAGTCACTTCTTAAACTCTGTAACGTTGAAATGACAATTACTAATATTAAGTGTTTCCTATGCTTAGGATAGACACTGTTCTACATACTCGTGGTTGTTTTGCTTGTATGTTATTTGTATAGATGCATACAAATGGTATGAACCAAGTACTATTAGGTGCACGTGATCCATTGAGCAACTGAGGATTGGAGGCAGGGCATTACCTGTACATGCATTTCAGCAGGTGCATCTACATTGTAAATATCTACAGTATTTCAGTTAGGATCAGGAGTGTTTCTGTTTGCCTGGTGACCCCCACTGACTGCACCATGGCTTGCATCACGAAGGGTCTTGGATCAGACAAGCTGGATTTCTTTCAGTTGAAACTAAACTGGAGGATGCGTTACAGCCACAAAAGAGCATTCACTCCACAAGACCAGGCTAGGAACTAGTCCTGAAAGCCTCCTGAAAATAGGAATAGTGTGGTTGGTCATTGCTCTCTTGCTCTGCAAATCCACTCTACTCGGCCTGTGTTACTTTCCAGTATAGGTGTAACCCACGTGGATTAGCTAGTCTCAATGCCTTGAAATGCAGAAGCGAGCAGGTGAGATGTGCAGATTGCTAGAGTCTTTACCTTGGCTCTGATAAGTAGAGGGAAGGCTCATTCTGCATATCCTAAGCAAAATACTTTTTATTAAAAGACACCCCCCCCCAACAGTTAAGAAGTTATCCTCCCCAAAATTAACAACTTCTAAGAATTAACTTATTTCACGTAGATACTAGTCACAAATGACAGTTTAGCAGTCAAGAAGACAGTCTCCTAGTTGAAAAACATGAAGGTGGTTAAAGCACAGAAAGATTACGTGCATTATATCTTAAAAAGAAATCTAAACCCAATAATCTTCCTAATACGCTGTTATTTTAAAAGGGGTAGCTGAAGAACTGAGTACATGAGACCATGTGACAGACGTGAAGTGATAAATACCCTTGATCTGCTTTTACATATCTTCAGGAATCTTAATAAAGTAGCAGTAAACAGGTTAATGATATTCCAGATACTGACAATACTGTACATCCCTGAGTTAATTAGAAGCATATTCACAGGAAACACTAGTAATTCTTTAGCTGAGAGAATATTAAGAGACTGAAGAAATAGCACCAAACCTCAAGCAGTACTCACATGGCTGTAGTTAGGAGTTTGATCTCTCTCTGTCATGTGCGGAGGGAGGGAGCTGTTTCGGGGGAAGATTTAGAGCAAGATACTGACTTAGATGCTCTGAATCGTTTCCTGGAGGAGCCCTCCTCGCCTTGTTGGTAGTATAGAGGACCAAAGCTCCCAACATAACCCACCTAAAGCAGACGGTGTGACTCCCGCTCTTCTTGGTTTTTTTGAACTGCAGTATAAAAGTAGAAGGTGGTAGCTGGTAAAATCATGGCAGACTTCTTCAACCTTTTACTAAGCAGCAGAAACTGTGATACAAGATGGAAAATTAAAATGTGTTCCCCTAGCAGTACATGTGATATTAGGAAATGCTGAAACTCTTGCTCACATTGTATAAGATAGCCTGTGAGTAACAGGTATGTGGCATAACAAGTTAACAGATTACAGGAAGGACAAACATGTGCAGGTAAATCTAATAACACGAGGTGGGTAATTTCATTAACCCAGCTGCTGTTGTTGTTGTTTCAAGACAATTAATTGCAACTTACACTTTGTATAAGTTAGTCACTGGAGAGAAACGTGGATGTCTGGGCTGTGAATGAATGCCACACCTCACATGCTGTTCCCATTTGGTGTTTCTAAATAAAGACTCCTGAACAGATCATGTGCATTATGCACATATATGTGTGATATACTTTTTTCCCACTACATGTATAAAATTAATTAGGCTTGAAGTAGCTTTAACTTCATTGTGGGGTTTTTTTTGTTTTTTTTAATTTAACTTCACAGATCACACCCAAGAATGGGCGCTATCAAATCGACTCGGATGTGCTTCTGTTTCCGTGGAAGCTGACTTACAGGAACATTGGCTCTGATTTTATTCCTCGGGGAGCTTTTGGGAAGGTGTACTTAGCTCAAGACAGAGAAACCAAGAAACGAATGGCATGCAAACTGGTATGTTAGTTCAGTAGTTTTATCTCTGAGCAAATATTGTACAACATAGTACATACAGTATATTTTGAAATATGTCTGCATCAAATTCCACTGTTAGGCTGATGATCATCTTGGTTTTGTTGGCCTACACAAGGTAGGAAAAAATGCATGTTTTTAACTGTTAACTTGTTTTAATTTTTTGGCTCTGAGACTGCACAAGTTTCTGTATTTTGAAAGTATCTGGAAGTATGTGTAACTGCCACATGGGCAGGCCTGCTGCGGTGTGGGGGTAGAAGAATTTCTACTTGTCCTGCTGTACTCAGGGTGGTAAAATATCAGCATGAGATCATGTCCCTGCTGACGGTGACAGCAAAACCCTGTTGCTGCAGATGGTTTTAGCATCTCATCCTTTAACTGGGGTCCTCAGGCTTGAGTTTCCTTTACTCCGGTGTCACTAATGTCCCTGAGACCTCAGCTTACATGCAACTCTCACTGTGTTTTGGGCACTGACTGAGCTCAAGGTTGTGAGATGTGTCAAGAAAACTGCTGAGCACGCCTCTATTTTTATGCAAGCCAACATTTTCTTTCAGCTTTACCTTTCAATATACTGTTCTGAAGTGGGCAGTAAGTATTTAGGGCCAATAAAAGCTCACCTGGGACATTGCTCTATATCCCCTGGCTCATGAATAAGTATCTGTATTACTTCTGTGTGTGAAGGAGTTGGGGAGGCAGTTGTACATCCTTCCCTTGCAGCCAGTGTATCCACATGGGGACAGATTTAGTTTGCTGCTCCCACAGCATAACCCACTGCCGAATTAAAGCATTCTAATGTTTCTGAAAACACAACCAGTATTTCTCATCGCAATAAAAATATTAGCCTCTTACTTGGTTCACAGCCACAAGTCTGAGGGAAGGAGAATAAAAAGAACTATACTAGACTTTTCATGTGTAAGCAAAAGCTCCTTTTTATCATCTTAGCAATCTGCCGTCAGTGCTTTTTAAAGAAATATAGTGCTGCCAGGTGCTCGCTTTAAAGCAGGTTTCATTTCTTGTGAGCCATAAAACAGCACTGATAAGGATTGAATCGAGGTCAGTAATGGTCCTGAGCATGGTTAGTCTGTAGACTGTGCTGAGTGCTGCAAGCACTGATCCACGTATCAGACAGGTGTATAGTTCTGGTAGAGCAGATGAGACTGCACAAAGCTAATGGAAAAAGCAGTGGGATTTTTATCTCCTTCACCAGGAAGTTTGCATAGAGCTTTTGCGTAACCACCAGATTTTGACGGGAATAACTCTTGCTACATTGCTTTTTCTGGAAGATTGCACTTTTTATTTGGGCATGCTTCCAAAAATTCTCTCAACTTTAAACAGGATGTATCTCAACGGGAAAGGAAGAACAAGTCACAGGATCAAAATAAAGCTCCGTATTTTAACAAGTGGATAGGAGTGCTTTGCTTCCTTCTTCCATTTTAATCTATAGGATAACTAGTGTTAGTATGGATAACTTAGTTTTTGAGCTGCTTTTCTGTGGTTTTGTTTCAATGCCCTAGGTCCCAGTGGAACAGTTCAAACCATCAGATGTTGAAATACAGGCGTGCTTCCGTCACGAAAACATTGCTGAATTATACGGTGCTATTTTGTGGGATGAGACGATACATCTCTTTATGGAAGCTGGAGAGGGAGGATCTGTCATGGAAAAGCTGGAGAGTTGTGGTCCTATGAGAGAATTTGAAATCATTTGGGTGACAAAGCATATTCTGAAAGGACTTGACTTTCTCCACTCCAAGAGGATTATCCACCACGATATCAAACGTATGTGTGTGTGATTCCCAGTCCAGGCTGGGCTGGGGCTCCAGTGGAGCGCCTGGGACTGAGCTGGGGCATGTAGCCTCATGTCTCTGGGAGGGAGGGATGGATAATGCTCAACAAATGGCAAGGTCAGGTTCTGGAGATAATCGTTACTTACGCTATTTATTAATTCACTTCAGTGGAGAGGATGATTTGAAAGTCACAGTTCCTTTGCCTGTCTTGAGCAACTCAATTTGAAATAAAAACCCAAAGAAAATGAGTGAAATTATCAGTCTGCATTAAGCCAGAAATTTCCCTCTTCTCATGTAAACTCATCCTGAGTGCTTCCATGCCCACCTTCCACTTTCACCTTCTTTTAGATTTTATGTTTCTGCATGGCTGTTCCTCAGTTTGAGACATTTTGGAACTTAATACCTAATTCGTTCTGGTTTTTTCTTTCAACAATTACTGCAAATTTTAGTATATATTTGCTTTTAAAAAGCTCTGGCTATTAACATGTATAAATAATCAAACTGTATTGATATTAAACCTGAATTAAATACATTAATATTAAATTGCTTTAAAATTTAATTCTAATGCATTACATTTAATTTAATATGAAATATTCCTTCTCCCAGCACCACCTCCCCCCTCAGACAGATAAATTCTGCCTTTCTCTAACAGTGTTTCTAATGAAGACGTATCTCTTCTGTGAGTTAATTTTTGCTAAACTTGAGTGTTTAAAATAGAAATATTCAAACTGAAGTGTAACAATAAATAGTTGACAGAAGACGATTATCAGGAATTGCTAAATTTTTATCTTGGTTTTACATTTTCTTTAGTTAATGTGGGTCAGTACTTCAGATGTAAGCCTTTGAGATTCGGACAACTATCGAACTGCTTAATTTTTCACTTAGTTGTACTTTCTCACTTGTAGTAAGAGTCTTTCCTATGGGTTTATTGTAATTGGCAGTAACAATGACACTAATTAAGAGGTTTAAAAACCAAACCAGCCAAAACCCAACCCACTACATCTAGATAGTGGATAGGAGAACCAGTCCGTTGTGAATGTGGTGGATGTGAGTGCATTTTGCTTTTTCCAGCCTCTTTCTGCGTTACTGGATGCAGGGCAGGAGCCGAGGCGGAGGCTGCCCGGGGCTGATGGCTGCCAGGCCTGGAGGCACCGGGGTGCAAACCTGGCCCCGCTCCTGCCCGCAGGGAGCTGTTTTGTTCCAGGGGTGAGCTGGGTAGCCCGGACCCTTACTGGGTGCCCGGCAAGGCGGCCTCCGCTCAAAGGAGCCGAGGGTGTGTGTTTTCCCTCGCCAGGTGGAATTGATAGAAAACGCTCTTTCCCAAACATCTCCGATTTCTTCCTCACTGCATTGGCCACTGTTGAGTCTCTGTCCTCCTGGCACAGGAGAAGATGGGGATTTTACTGAGAGAAAGACTGCCCTGGGCCAGGAAGGGGAGGAGGGCTTTCTGTTGGCTCTTAGGAGCAGCTCAGTGCCACCACTCATGTTAACCCTTGGTTGGAAAGCAGTTAAATACGAGGTTATTTGGTGGGGGGAACTTTAGTCCAAAACCAGCCAAAGCTGGTCTGCTGCAGTCCCGAACAGGCAGCAGAGCTTGCTGCACTGTGGCAGCGTGGCCGTCTGCACCATCCTTTATCTGGTGTTTAAAATCCATGCCTTCAAAGGTATCCCTAATATTACCAATTTATTTACGTAGTTTTGTAGCACTGGTAAGGAGGCAGGTATGTGAAAGATTGCTTCAGGAACCAGTACCACTGAAATCAAGCCTGCATCTTCCCACTGGATGGGCATGGTGGGCACTGTCAAGATGGAAAATGACCCACAGTTTCCTCTGGGAGAAAATGTGTTTCTGTTGTGTAACTTGGAGGCTTCGTTTGTCCACATCTTCTGAAACAGCAAACAAGAATTTCTCAAAGCACAGAGCACTACCTTCATAAATATTTGATCAGAAATACAACTGCAAAGAAAGCCACTGAGTACAAAGTTGTCCCTTAGGCAGAGTTTTATGAAGGAAAATGAATTAAGCTCCTAGATATTGCTGCAATTCGGTGGGAGTTTGGAACTCCCAGTCTTTCATTACTTTTGCAGCCATAGTCTGTCCTCTGTCATCACGCGGAGCTGCTCTCACTGACTGGTGCAGGAGACAGGTGTGGCTGCTGTGGAGGGACCTCGGTTCCTCTCTGCTTCTGTCATTTAAATCATTAGTGTAGAGAAACCTCTTGGTGACCATCAGTTATGTTGTTTATAGCCACACCTGCACAGCATGCTTTCCACCTTGGAGACCATTAAATATCTTCAGAGCAAGCCTCGCTGTGCTGAGGTGCCTACCAGTCTTCCACCTTCCTCCCTTACCCTCAGCCATTTTGTCTTTCTCCCTCTCTCTCTCTTTCTTTTTTTTTTTTTTTAAAGCTAGGAAAATGTCCAAATGTTGATTAATCTTCTACGTAAACCAGTCCAGTTTGATTTTTAAGACATGATTTAAAATTGGACCCCATCACTGACAGACCTGTTTTGCCTAGGAGAAGGACTGTGTCGGCTGTAGAGACTGGTTGTGCTAATCTCCCTTTTCAGGCTAACATCCAAGTGAAACAGGCATATTGTAAAATAAATGCCCAACGTGCCGGAAACTTAAATGCTGTCATTTTTCTTTTTCTTCTAGCAAGCAACATTGTCTTTATGTCAACTAAGGCTGTTTTGGTGGATTTTGGCCTAAGTGTGCAAATGACTGAAGACATTTACTATCCCAAAGACCTTAGAGGAACAGAGGTAAGAAGCTGGAGGGACAAAAGCCTTTATGTTGTTATTATTCCCATGGTTATGATGCTTAGGCTCAAATTTGGAGTTTGAGGGTAGAAGCTTGGGCAAAAGAGTTTTATAATAACATAAAAAAATTGCAAATGAACATTTGTATTATCTCAGTTACATTTTTCTTTCAACTTACTGAATGGAGAATCAGGTGTTAGACTTTGAAAGCCATGTCACCTTCTCTTCAGTCCCATGCCACGACACCCATTTGTTAGCAATGATTAAATCTGAAGTCACGAAGAAATCGGGATTCACTGAAGTCAAACAAAGGAACAGTACTCTGAGGAGGGTTGTTTGCAGTGAATCAGCTGCTGGTCAGAGACGCTTCAGACTGGAATTTGGTTCTTTGCTCTAGCAAAGATTTCTTCTGAGATACCAGCTATGGACTGGGATGACCTGCTCAACACAGTAGTTTGATGACTCCTTTGAAACTGCAGCAATTACAGTCCTCTGGGTTTTGTCCCTTAGCATTTCTCAGCTCTGTTCCCCACCTACATGTCCCTCTTGTCCGTTGGGGGTTATGTATGGCATAGTTGATGATTATCTGGTAAACTGCTTAGGCATTAAAGTGATGGGGGTGGGGGCCTTTCAGATATTCTCAGTGACTTTGAACATGTGCAGAGGCCCTGCATGCCACTTGGGCTACCCTCATGCCAAAGTGTTTCCAGGGCTGGAGCTTTAGCAAACAACCGAGCAGCAACAGTTAGCTTGGATTGCTGCAAATGTGGCTTTGCATGCTCTCTGTTGCCAGAGGAGGTTTTTTACAGGAAACACTTCAGCTGGAATGTTGGTGCTTGCCATTTTGATAGTCTTCCACAGCATAGGCATGTGTTTAGAGGAGATACTTGTATAACTGACAGAGAGCATTTCACTCCTTGGAAGGGTAGGATAAACTAAGATTTCACAGAACGTCAGGCTTGTTTGTTTGTTTTCGAGATATTTGGGAAAATACTTGAACATTTGTTTTCACTGTCTTTCTAGTCTGGGGAGTTAAGTGCTTAAAATGCTTACTGTACTGGAAGCAACATGCTTTCTGGATTTAATGTGCATACTTTGTGGTTTTTTTATTTTGGTTTGGTTTGGGGTTTTTTGTTTGTTTAGGGGTTTTTTTGCATGTTGTTAATGAGAATAAGAAAAATGGAATGAGTTGGAAGCCCTGGTAGGGTATTTCCCAAGGATGGAAATGTGCGTAAACAGGAAATTTCCAGGTTTGTGGAGTGGACTGATGGTGATCTGCTCCTGGCTGTTGGAGGACAGGCGAAGTTCATGTTCGTAAGAACAACTGTGAAAAACACTTAGTTCTTCACTTAGTAAGAAGAAAATTATTCCACACTGTTGAGCACCTCCAGTCATGTCCTCAGAAAGTGGATAATCCCCACAACCCTGTAACAGGGCGGTGCTTGGTGTTTGCCTTCTCAGGAGAGAGGTAGCCAGTCCTCGGAACTGGCAGTCATGCTGTTCTGCTGCAGCATTGCAGGCCAGAAGTCAGGTTGCAGAGAGAGCCCTGGGAAAGGAGATTTTCAAATACCAAAGACTTACAGGAACATCATGAATGCTAGTCTGTAGGTTTTTCTGCTCACATTCTTCCTCCTAGGCATCTTCCTCTCCACAGTGCCTGTGTTCAGCCTTGTGGGGTGCCTAATCCAGTCACCCACAAATGCCCTCTGTAGTCCTTGATAACACTGGCTTTCTTGATTTTTTTCAAAGTAAAATCTTCACTTTTCCAAAGTCCTCCTGAGTTTTGCACCCTCTATTATGCAGCCTTAAGAAGTGGTGCAGTTGTCCAGGAGTGCTGTTTCTGCATGTAGCTGTGCAACCCTTTGTTAGGGCTTTGTCGCTGCCATGCAGCATCGTGCCTGTGAACTGGCTGGTTTCTCTTACGTCTGGTATTGGCAGGGACTCGTGTCCCTGAAGGAAGTGGCAGGTGGAATTATCTTTCTCCTGTGCATGTTCTCCTCTGGGCATTTAAGATTTTTGTTCACTTCTATAGCACAGAAGGTCTGAATGTAGTGAGTCTTCTTTGTGTTTATGAAAATGAATAGTTACAATTCTGGGCAGAATGACTGAAAGATAGTTAAATTTTGTTTAGTTGGTGTAGGATGAAAAACCTGGGTTTTCTGAACAGTGTGTGTACAACATATGCAGCACAATATACCAGAGTTGTGATGAAACTGCTCTGCAGGAAATACTTTTTCTAGGCATTTCCTCCACTTTCTGTTATGCTTCTGTCACTTTGTTAAAATATGTAAGCTTCAGTTACAAACATTTGAGGGGAGGAAAAAGTTGTCTGCTAAGGTTTCTTGAATGTGGAAGGTGTGATTCATTTGCA